CGCGGCCCCCGCCCGGCCACTCTCACCTGCTGAGATTTCACCCCCACGGCTCCCCCTTTCCTCCCGGGCCCTCCCGCCCGTCCCTGCGCGGCGACCGCGGTTCCGCGTGGGGAGGAGAAAGCGGATCCCTCCCTCCGCGCTCCACGGGTACTGCCACGTCCTCAGCTCCGAGCAGCCCGCCGCGCCACTAGGCTCCGCTGTGCGCCGCCTCCCGCCCGCGGCCCCACCTCCTCTCCCGGCCCCGCTGGGGCTGGGGATTAAAAAGCCTGGAGCTGCAGGCGGGAGGAGGGGGGAGAGAGGGTGGGTAAAGCGGAGGGGTGAACACGGTAGAATTTAGTAGGCGCCCCCACCTCCAGACTACGGGGAGCATCCAGGAGAGAGAACAAGTGATTCTCCCCTCGATGCGGGGGGTGGAGAGTGGCTTTCGCTGTGCTGCATAATTTGTGCTTTACTAGATAAGAAAGAAAGAGCGCACAAAAGCAGCCCTAAGAGAAAGTCCTACAGATACCGTGCGGACGCAACTGGTTAACCAAGATCTTAAAGACAGTGGACAAGAAAAGGGCTTTTTCAAGAATGCAGACGCCAGAGGCTGGATTACCATTAGCAAGTCCTTCAGGTTCAGGGAGACCGCAGTCCTTATTTTGTGGCTCAGAAAGGTAGAGAGAGACTAGAACAGACTCGGCTCTTTGGGCAAGAGTGCGAGTGCTAGGGAGCCCCGCCTCTGCAGAGGCTTCAGGTACTGTGCCGGCTCACGACTACGCCACAGTGAGTTGCCCCACCGTGGGGTATGGAACGGTCATAATTCCCTGGAGTCCCCGGCGCAGGCATGTTCCAGTTGTGATACTCAGGTTAAATTTCACTAACTCCACCGTGTCATAAGAGTAGCAGCAGTCTGCACATCTGACGCCCACCTCTGGGACAGAGACTCCTAAACCTGGGGACCTTCGATTGCCTTCAAGGGCACCTCCCAATGACCCGAAACTGAAGGAAGGTTGGTTGCATTACAAGATGTTGTAAGTTTTAGGTGTTCATTGACCCAGCACTTCTTAAGGAGGATTAAATGAGGTTGATTTAGGGCAAGTGCTTGAATAGTTTGGCTCATTAATAGCTAACAGTGGTCCCTCGATATACTAAGTGGGATTCTTTCAAAGAACTTAAAAATGTAATGGGACAATGCATATAAAATTGCATTGCTCTCTTGTTTAATCATGAAGTAAAACCTCATGATTTTAGCTTCCGCATGAGAGGAAAGGACAGCCCTCAGCGTTTTGGATTTCCCAGTTTACAAACATTTGCTGATGTGATTTCACTTAAATATACATTTCTGGTTCTAAAAACAGGAATGTGCCATTGAGTGCAGGTAAAATTCACAACAGCTGCAGTTTTGCCTGCTTCTAGGTATATGAGCTTCCAAGTCAGAAGAAATCAAATAACAATCTTTGGATCCAGAGAGAAGCAAGGAGTAGACTCCCACGAGGCCAGGCCACTGCCCAAGATTCTGGTTCTCAAGAGCAGCAGGGCTCAGCGGTCCCTAAGAGTGCCCGTTAGGGCACTAATCAAGGCCTCCGCTTTGGCAGCTGCCCCCTTTCCACTGGAAAATGCTCACGAAACAAGGTAATGAAATAAAGTGCTCTTGAGCAAATGAAATATTTTGTATTCCTTAAGAAGATTTTGCATGGGGGCTGACAGTCTCCAAACTTTAATGACAACACACATCAGTGTTTGGTGAAAGAGCTTCAGTACCAAGGTAGAAGAGTCAACTCACCACTGAAGAATATGTTTTCTCTCAGTAAAAGTCAATGTGCGGAAAGGGAGCGCTAGTCCAGCAGCCAGGAGAACACTTACCCATCTGTTTGAAGATGGCGCCTACTCAGTCACAGAAAAGATATTTTAAAACCGCATCTCCGGGTGAGGAGGAACTATGGAACTAGAAATAGCTCTAATGTGAGCATTTGGCATTATAAAATAATTTAGCCCCAACCAAAAGATCACCGGTATACAAGTAGATAACAAAACTTTTCATAGATACAGAAAAAAGTAAACTTACAAGAAAAGTCAGGTGATAAATTCAGCATTTTGTGACTCTTGTCAGCATCGTCTTGGTTGAGATTCTGCACACAGCTAACACTGGCTAGTAGGGCAGTGGGCAAAAGGGCTCAACAGAAACACTTGATATTTCATGCATCTGGATTTTTAGCGAGCAGAGTATATTCATATTTTTAATTTTAAGAATTTAGAAAATATTCAATTTATAAAATAATCTATTGTTAGACCTGAAGATTGTGCCAATATGTTTAAACTAACATTTATATGTGAAAAACTAAATAAAGGTTCAAAGGATTGCTACAAGTCACTAAATAGTGATTTAACTGGAGAGGAAATTATGGAGATTTATTTTCTTTTATTTATATTCTATCACTTTCTATAACAAGCATGTATTACTTCTCTGATTAGGAAAAAATTTAAGCAGGTAAGACAAACACATTGCTGGTGTTTGCTGCATATGATCCAACACTAACTAGCACTAAAAAAAGAATGAACTGATGATACCCACAAACATCAATCTCAAAAGCATATTAAAATTCAACAAAGCAAAATACTTACAAAAAATTAGTGGATAATAATAAATGAAGTGAAGCTTCTGAGGGTAAGAGAGAAAAGGGGTGAGGGAGAGTGTGAAGTGTCCAAGAAAAGAACTTGAATGCAATGTGATCCATATCAACTTCAAATAGTAAAAACCCAAGTGTCCAGAGATGAGTAATCAAGGAGTATATTTAACCACAGAATTTTATAGAGCAAATAAATGGATGAAATCATTGTATATGGTGTGGGATGGATGGATGTAAACGCTGCTTAACAAAAATGTCAGCTTCGATATCATTCTTGAAATGTGATTACAAGTGCATGAAGTGGGAAAAAAGACAAAACTCCTCTAAGCCAGGACAGCGACTGCATCTGCAGATGAGGTGGAGACTGTGGGTGAAGAGGACAAGACCAAAGATCTCTGGCAACACAAACTGATCTAAGTCCTGTTCTAGGTAATGTGTAGGGGTGGAATCACTTTATGGTGACTTATCCATCAGCACAATGACAGCCGTCCAATGTTCTCCATGTAACTACGTGTCAGTAACTTAAAAAAAATAGCTTTGAAAACTGGGAAGGTAAAAGACCAAACAGAAAATTCAGAACAGTTTCCTTCCACGAGCCTGGAAAATACTATATTATGTGTCTGTGCAAACCACACGGCAGACGCTGAAGGCTGAGGCAAGGCATGTTAAGGTGAAACTTGGGGCTTTCTGGTGGCTGATTCCATGTAAAGCGTGTCAAAGGCACACGATGAAGGGTACAGGATTCAAATTACAAAAAGCTCTTATGAATTAGGCAAGCTAGGAGTTGCTTCAATAAGCAGTCTGCCCTCAAATCAGATCAATACATTCACCAGCACCTGCTTCCTCTCTGCCCTGTGGCAAATCACATGTCTGGCCCTTAACTTCCTAGTTTACAGAATAGATTAGGTGAATTGAAGCAAGGATTTTCAGTATATATCAAAAGGATTCTTAACAAGTGTCGGAGAAGATGTGGAGAGAGAGGAACCTTTACCCTTCGTTGGTGGGAATGAGCTCTGCGGGCCACTACGGAAGGGGGCCTGGACTGGTCTTAAAAACTAAAAATAAAATACAATATGCCCCAGCAATCCAACTTTGAAGCATCCCAACAACACAAAGCCAACTCAAAAAAGCGCACGCTCCACGTTGTTTATTGTGGCTTCCTTACAATAGCGAGGCCATAGATGAGCCTGCCTAGAGGCTCCGCGAAGAGTGCTGGTTTAGCCACACAATGGGGTTCTATCTGGTGACAAGAAAGATGAAACATTACCATTTCAGCGAATGGAGGGGACGCGAAGGGGTTATGTGACACAAGTAAGCCCGAAAGATAAGGGCACGTATTGGCCACTTTCACATATTTGAGTAATAGGAGGGAATAAAGCAGATGCACGGACAAAGCAAAATAATTATAAACGATCAGACTGTGATCATGCAGCTGGAGGTTCTGTGGTAAATAGGGAAGGTGGAGGGAGAAAGAGACACGGTGGGTGAGACAGCGATGGGTCAAAACAAGCAAAAGAGCAATTTTCACACTGTGGCATGCAGCGGAGTGCCCTGGAGAGCTTGCGCACATGCAGCTGCTGAAACCAGCTCCCGCATTTCTGACTCAGGTTAGTCTGGGGTGGACCTGGGGTTCTGCATTCCTAGCAAATCCTCTGGGCATGCAACTGCTGTAGTCGGGAAGCCACACTTTGAAAATTACTGAGTTAGAAGATCTTTACAGTACTCAGAAAAATCTCAGCCAAAATATCAGAAGTTCTGCGGGTTAAACGGCAAAGCCCGTCACTGAGGAAGCACTTGCAAACCAGATAATGGGGGGCGCTGCTGTCTCACGGAGGGCAAGGTGCCTAAGCACCACGCCGGCAATCAC